CTTGGGAGGAAGGCAGCAAATGGACCGTGAATGGCCCCTCCCAGAGGAAATATAAGAGCGGGAGAAAGGGGAGTGGAGTTTGCAGGAGACAATTTGTTCATTCCTGCATTCTTGCCCAGTATGGCGGCTTCCAAAAGATATCGGCCTGGCCACCCTCCAAGCCTGATAACGGTCGGTAATTGAGAACTCTCTTGAAAGACTGTGGGAAAGGAAAGACTTTGCTGGAGAGGAATTCACTGTCAACTAAATAAAAGGGGTTTATCGGGACGAGGACTCGGCTTCGTGCTCCTGGGGAAACCTAGGTCAGAATACCAGGCCGGATTTTGCTGGATTCTCCCACCAAACCCAATCCTGTTTCCGCAGGGGACAGATCCTGCCTCGGATTAAAGCCCTCTTAATAACCAGCAGTGCTACGTAACTGGGTTCTTCTGAGAGATCTGCCTTGGTTTCTTTCTTCTCGAGATCTTCTCCTTTCGACCACGGAAGGTCGAAGGCCTGGTCCTGACGTCCTTTGAGAGGATGAGTGGCCTCAGGGGTGGTCAGGGCCTCTGCCCCTGGAAGCCGGGTTGGTGTCGGGACATCTGCTCCAAGGTTTGTCTTCATTGTGGTCTGTTCGAGGCATGGGGTGGTGGAACACGTTCTCACCATCATGGGTTTAGGGGCATGCATGCACAAGAGAGGGTTGACTCTGGTCTTGGTTTGGGGGTTGACGCAGAAATCCCGCCGTCTCTGGATGCCGGTTCCACAGGAGACGGAGCACTGGAAGGAGAGAACCAGAGATTACAGACAGTCCTTGATTTACGACTGGTGGCTTACCAGTCGTAAGTCGAGGACTGCCTCTACACTGTTTTCTGGACCTTAGTACCGAACTAATGTCCTTTTTTTCCTTTTCAGTTTCTCAGCTGGGAAGTTTCCAAATCTGTCCCCAGAGTAAATATTAACCAGTTTGGCTGTTTAGCTTTCAATATACCGTATTTTTCGGAGTATAAGACGCATCTAGCTTTTGGGGAGGAAAACGAGAGAAAAAATTTCCGCCTCCCAGCGACTTGCCTCCTTGCTGCAAACAGCAAACAGCCTGTTTCAGTTTCAGCACAGCCTGATAAGCACAAGCAGCTGATGGTCGGTTTGGATCGGCCTCCCGATGATCAGCTGTTTCAGGCTGCAGGGATTGCCACTGTCTATTGCCGCCTCCGCTTGCCCCATTTTCAGCCTCCGCATCCTGTTTTCAGCCCCCACGCGCCCCGTTTCCCACCCATTCCGGGCGGCGGGGATCAGAATGGGCGGAAAATGGAGTGTGCGGAGGCAGCAATAGCAATCCCGGCAGCCTGAAACAGCTGATGGTTGGGAGGCCGATCCAACTGATAATCAGCTGTTTGTGATAATCAGGCTGTGCTGAAGCTGAAACAGGCTGTTTCTGTTTGCTGCAAGGAGGCAAATTGCTGGGAGGCTGAGGCCCAAGGTTGGGGGCTGGCGGGTGAGCGGGGCTACATTCAGTGTATAAGATGCATCCAAATTTTCACCCTCTTTTAGGAGGGGGGGGCGAGTGCATCTTATACTCTGAAAAATACGGTAACTACGTCAATTAGATTAGACTAGACTTAAAAATTCATTTAAGTAGCCTATAATTCAGCATAATGCAGGAACCATCCAAATGCTGGCTAAACAAGGCTGTCACATTAAGCTAGAGTATTGTTCCTATGTTGGTCTGCATCCTGTGATCCTCAACCTATGACTGTTCGCTTAGCAGCTATTTGGAATCATGACGGACGGACCCCCCAAAATCTAACTTACAAGGCAGGTTCAAAATTCATATGACCTCCTAGCTTGCATTTACAAAGTGGTGGGCATTCAGTTTATGACGCTTTTGACAGAAAGCGGTGTTTCTTTCCGGTTTCCACCCCAAAATGCGCCCCATAAAAACGGGCTCGCTTTACGACGGACGCGTCGGTGTTACGACCACTGCCAAAAAAATAGGTCGTAAAATCGAGCACAGGGTGAGACCCATGTCACGGTCGTAAAGCTGAGGACTTGTCGGCTTTCCCAAGGACTCTGAAATGTCACCGCAGTGCAAATGGGGGTACCTGCGTCCATGGGGTGAACCCCCATTCGTAAGGGCAGACCCGGAGGATGCAGGGTACGACGGAGAGGGGCTTTTCTGCTTCTGGGCAGTGGCCCTCGGCCACCTCCACCTTTCGGCCACCAGAAAGCCTCACGCAAGCCACGGATTGGGTAGCTACTCCAACTCCACAGGAAGAGGAGCAGGGACCACGCTCACCCACTTTCCAGCTGGGTTTTTAGAGAGAGAGAGAAAAGCAGTGTTGAAGGGAGAGGCAAGTCAGTTGCAACTGTCTATCTCTCTGTTCTTCCTTCCTTCCATTCTCTCTCTTTCTTTCCTTCCTTCTTCGCTCCCTCCCTTTCTTCCTTCTGTTCTCTCTATTTCTTTCCTTCTTTGCTCTCTTCCTTCCTTCCATTCTCTCTATTGTTTTTCTTCCTTCTTCGCTCCCTCCCTCCCTTCTGTTCTCTCTATTTCTTTCCTTCCTTCTTTGCTCTCTTCCTTCCTTCTGTTCTTTCTTTCCTTCCTTCTTCGCTCCCTCCCTTCCTTCCATTCTCTCTCTTTCTTTCCTTCCTTCTTCGCTCCCTCCCTTCCTTCCTTCCATTCTCTTTCTTTCCTTCCTTCTTTGCTCTCTTCCTTCCTTCTGTTCTCTCTTTCTTTCCTTCCTTCTTCGCTCCCTCTCCCCCTTCCTTCTATTCTATTTCTTTCCTTCCTTCTTTGCTCTCTTCCTTCCTTCTGTTCTTTCTTTCCTTCCTTCTTCGCTCCCTCCCTTCCTTCCATTCTCTCTCTTTCTTTCCTTCCTTCTTCGCTCCCTCCCTTCCTTCCTTCCATTCTCTTTCTTTCCTTCCTTCTTTGCTCTCTTCCTTCCTTCTGTTCTCTCTTTCTTTCCTTCCTTCTTCGCTCCCTCTCCCCCTTCCTTCTATTCTATTTCTTTCCTTCCTTCTTTGCTCTCTTCCTTCCTTCCATTCACTCTTTCTTTCCTTCCTTCTTCGCTCCCTCCCTCCCTTCCTTCTGTTCTCTCTATTTCTTTCCTTCCTTCTTTGCTCTCTTCCTTCCTTCCATTCACTCTTTCTTTCCTTCCTTCTTCGCTCCCTCCCTCCCTTCCTTCTGTTCTCTCTATTTCTTTCCTTCCTTCTTTGCTCCCTTCCTTCCATTCTCTCTATTGCTTTTCTTCCTTCTTTGCTCCCTTCCTTCCA